ACTGCTCCCCCCGCCCCGCCACCACCGCCGCCCGGCCCAGCGCCTCGGCCGACGGGCTCAGCGTCTCCCAGCGCCAGCTGCAGGGCAGGGAGGGCGGCCTGGCCGTCAGCGCCTCCATCATCACCCAGGTGGGGCTTCCCCAGCACCCTGCCCTGCCGGGCCAGGCCCTGTGCTCCCCGGCCGGTCTCCCCCTCCCTTGCAGAGCCGCACTGGTAACAGCTCCGCCTTATAAGGGCTCAGCCCCCAAAAGAGACCAACATACCTAATCGGTTTGTTTGACCCCATGTAAAAGTCGTAGGCAGAGACTGTTCATGTCAGCCCTTGTCAGTGAGAGAGAGAGAGAACTGCACCATGGTTGCTCCCCACCCTTCTCCTCCCCTAAGTCATTCTAGTTTTTAATTGCAATGATGAGTGGTGCCAACTCCGAAACCTTACGGCCATCTCATCGCATTACATCAACACTATTACAGTCATCAGCTGAACTTGTAGTCTCCTCAAAAACGATAGTTAGCATGACAGGATCTCTAGTCCCGTATACTGTATTAATGATATTACCCTCTTTTATCAGAGTACCAGTTGGTCCATTATCTTGCCTGGGATCAATGTAGGCCCATCAGCCTGACAAGTATCTGCGTCAGCCTGTTTACCTTTTCAAACATTGGATAAAATTCGCTTTCTTCTGGAACTGCCCGTGTGCCCGGACTTATGTTGCTTTTTTTAAAACAAGTGGCCCAGCACGCTCCTTGCCAGCTCTCGTAACACTCTTAGATTCATGCTCTCTCAATCAGCTGGTTTGAAAGTGGCTGAACTGTGTGGCTTCTGTTTAATGCCCTCCAGAGAGATTCACAGAAAGGAAGGAGCGTTGCTGCTGTGTGATGGGACTGCAGCATCATTCCCCCATATACAGAAAGGAAATATTTCTTGAGCATGTCTGCCTTGTCTTCATTAGTACAGGCAATTCTGCCCTGTCCATCCAGTAACAGTCCAACGCCGTTGTCAGGATTCACTTGGCTTTGCTGGCCAGAGATATCCCTGAGTCCTCTCAGGGTGTGTGTCACTGTCTACAATTGCTGCTTTTGAGCGAGAGCCGTCCCCTTCTTCCAGCTGGTATATTTTACAGCTGCCAGCTTGGCCTTTTCACCAGTGCTGCCTTCTTCCCCAGGTGTGGCTTTTGGGGCACCCTTACATTCTTCTCAATCACCATTCATGCTTTTCTGGCGAGAGCCTTCCTTCCAGCTGGTCCGGCCCAGAATCCTTTTCAGCTTTGGGAAATTGGCTCCATTCAAGCGCCAGCTTTGTCAACCACTGCTCTGGACTTGATTCTATTTGCCCATATCCTCAGGATCCAGTCATGGCTACTGGTGGCTTTTCGTGCTGTGATCGGTTCCGCGTTAGCTGCTAGCACAGGGTCTAATCTAGAATTCCCCCTTGGTGGCTACAACAACACCTTTCCCCCTCAGGCCTCCTGGTGCGTCCTGCCTTCCCGGGTTCTCCTGGTCCTGACCTCTCAGAAAGGGATCCAGGTAAGAGCGCTCTGTTTCAGGAGTGGGCAGGGCCTAGGGTGAAGAGCTCTGTGTACAAGGCCGGCATGCCAGAGGGCAGGACTGCCCCATAGCACCCTCTGCTGGGGACGCCTGCCTCTGCAAGCACTTCCTTCCTCAGTGCCCCTTCACCAGGGTTTCCCAGGGCTCAGCCCTCCAGCTGGGTCGCCCTCAGACTTCAGGCCCCTTCCAGGGTAAGCAGAGTCCCAAACAGAAGGTTTTCCCACCTACTTAGGCCCAACTTCAGCCCAGCCTCCCGGCTCTGTCCCTGTCCCTTCTGAGTGACCTGGAAGTCATTGTGCTGAGGTGGAAAGCAAGGAAGCAGAGCTCCTCGCTCAGGAGCACAGTTGGCCCTGGCTTCCATGGCCTCTCTATCACACTGTGCTCCCTGCCCTTTTCTCTGGCTCTTCTTTCTGATAGAGGCACAAGGGGGGAGCGACTAGTTGAGCAGGGCTGGCTAGCCCTAGGCGTCTTGGCCTGGCAGAGAAGCCACTGGTGCTACCTGCCTTCTGGAGGGCCTCGTCTCGGTGCCTTGGGGGCCAGGCCCGAGGGGTGCTGCAGTGAGTTGACCAGGTTGTTCTCACTCCCCAGATGTACGAGTCGGATGGCTCCATCATGGTGTATTGGCATGCCCTGGACGCCTTGGAACCACCGCCAGGTAGAGAGAGCCCAGCGGGGCGGCCCTGCCTTTTCTGGGAAGGGCGGGATGAGCTGTGGGTGTGGGCTCTGTGCTGGGACATCTGTGTGGCACAGTGTGGTGCCCTCCAGCCCAGGGAGGCTCTTGGATTGATTTAGGAATTAATTCCCGGGGTGTGCAGGTCACCCCAGGGCTCTCTCCTGGTTGGACGATGTTTAAAGGCTCTGTGATCTGCCCTTCAATCAGGGTGTCTGGCCCCCACACCTTGTGGCCCTGCCTCTCAAAGCCATCCCCTTCTGGCCCGAGGCCTCCTTGCGCTCCGGGGCCAGAGCCGCTGGAGGGCTGTCATGGGGCTTTCGTTCCCTTCCAGCGCAGGCAGTGTTTGCTCGAGGGATTGCTGCAGCCAGTGGGCGCTTCATCTGTGTGGGTGAGTAGGCTGGGGAAAGGAGCAAGGTGCTAGGGATGGGCTCTCTGCTCTGCACAGCTACAGCAGCCAGACCCCTCAGCGCGGCAGGGAAGGCGGAGGCCAGCACCCAGCTGCTGGGGGGCGGGGAAGGGCGGCACTAGGGACAGTCCAACTCTGGGGCACACGTGGGAAGGGAAGAAGGGCTCCTCAGGCACTGCTGGATTTGCTGGAGGAGTTGTTGAGGAGCATGAGGATCTGGGTTTTGGGGGCGCGTGGGGTGGCGGGGGGGGAGACTGGGGCCCAGAGCAGAGGGGGGCCTGGTAGCTGGCTGCTGGGGCTATCTCCCCCGCTTCTTCACAGGGACTTCCTCGGGCCTGGTGCTGGTGTTTGACATCCCCAGCAAGGGAACGAACATCACGCTGAGCGAGGTCCTGGAGGAGCATCGCGACTCCATCACCGACATCGCCGCCGAGGTCGGTGAGAACCCGGTACGAAGCCCCAGCACCGCGCACCGCCCCGTCCCGGCTCGGCCCCATCAGCTGGCTGGCCCCTTCGTCCTTGGGGGATTCCTACAGCCCACTGGAAGCCAGGCGGTCAGTCGAGTCCCATGTGCTTCCCAGTGGGGAAGCAAAGCCTGGACACCAATGAGCCCAAGGCCTGAACCTTTCCCAGCAGCCCAGGGGTCTGGATGGGCTCCTTGCGCCCACCCAAAGCCAACCAGCGCAGAGACAGGGCTGCCTGAGCCCTCCCAGGCTGGGTACCGGAAGTGGCTCGAAGCCTGCTCTCTCCCCTTTTAGCCTCTCGCCATGGGCGCAGAGGGCCTCCCCACAGCTGTCCTCTCTCGCAGGCGCCTGCCACAGGCTCAGCTTTTTCTCTTGATTTGGGGAGCTTCCGATTCTCCTCTTGTCCATGGGCTACTTCGTTGCCTTTCCCAGGGCTCCAGTTCAGCGCCCTCTTGCTACCTGGCCTCACGACTGGCCTAGCCCGCTTCTGCTTTGTTCCCTCATTCCCATCCTCCTGGGTTTGGTCTCCTCCTCCAGAGCTCTTCCTTCCTGGGCTTCCTGGCCATCTGAGAACTCGGAGTTTAGAGAATGAGGTTTCAGGGCCATAGCGTGAGAGCAGCATGACAAGGATATTGACTGTTCAGAGGGTAGTTTGGAGGGCAAGGCCTTAGAGACACAAAGACACCACTCTGATCCTCACACTCCTAAAGCCCAGGTCCATGCAACCCGAAGAGAGTCTCCACCCACTGAGAACAGTGTAGGGGAGGTGACACACAGCTGGACAGTTCTGAGTCCACCCAGCATAGGGCAGTGATAAGCACATGTACCAGCTCACTACATCCCAGTGTCTGTCCCCTGGGATCTCATTGGCCCAGGGGGATGGGTTATAAAGCAACTTTCCGGCACTTCTGTGAGACTCTATGTGGTGGTTGGTTACTCTGTAGGATCCTTACCAATTGCTGACTCCCCAGGCTCTGACTGGCCGAGAGGGGGCCCATGGCAGGGCGCTGACTCCGTTGCTTGCCCCCTTGCAGGACGGAGCCGCGGACCTGGTGACTGCGGATGATGCCGGGGCCCTGTGTGTCTGGAGAGCCAAGGAGGAGTTCGCCCTGCTCACCAAAATCTCTGCCTTTGGGTAGGGCCAGGAGGCTCCCATGGCGTTTTGAGCAGGGGGATGAGCCCAGAGACCCCTCAGCAAGAGGGGAGGGGTGCCTGCAGGCTGTGGGCTCACTGGTGCAGTGGGGGCAGTGTGGGGGGGCCCAGAGCTGCCCTTCTCCCGGGCTGGAGCGAGGGGGCTGACAAGTCTCCCGGTGTCCAGGTGGACCTGCCCCTCGGTGAAGCTGTGGAACGGGGTCATCGCTGCTGGCTATGGCAATGGGCAGATCCGGCTGTATGAGGCCACAAGCGGGGCCCTGCGTGCCACAGTCAGCGCCCACGCTCGCTGGATCTACGCCCTGGACCTGGCTCCCCTGACGGGGAAGGTAAACCTGCCCCAGCCCCTCCCGGGCAGTCCCCTGCCGGCCTTCTGAACACAGCCAGGGTCAGCAAATGGGCAACCAAAATGATGAGGGGTTTGGTCCCATATGAGGGGAGATTAGAAGACGGGGACTTTTCAGCCTAGAAAAGAGGAGACTAAGGGGGGACAGGATCGAGGTCCATAAAATCATGGCTGGTGTGGAAAAAGTGAATAAGGAAAAGTTGTTGACTTGTTCCCATAACATCAGAACTAGGGGCCATGCAATGAAATGAAGAGGTAGCAGGTTTAAAACAAACCAAAGGAAGTCAATCTGTGGAACTCCTTGCCAGAGGATGCGGTGGAGGCCAGGACTTTAACAGGGTTTTAAAAAGAGCTAGATAGACTCATGGAGGACAGGTCCATCAGTGGTGACAGGAGGGATCACTGGATGATTCCCTGTTCTGTTCACTCCCCTTGGAGCACCTGGCCTGGGCCGGAGGGACCTTTGGGCTGCCCTAGGCTGGCCACTCAGATGTTCTCAGCCACCCTGCCTGACTCCTCCCCTCTGGAGGGAAGAGCTGCAGCTCCCACACCAGCCCCCTCCGCGGGAGCCCCCCCTCCGTGGGCCCTCACTGCCTCTGTTCTGCCTCCCTCTGCAGCTGCTATCGGGGGCGGAGGATTCCTACGTGCAGGTGTGGAAGCTGAGCCGGAGCGCCGACACCGGGGCCGTTGAGGTGAGGGGGCCAGTGCTGGGTGCAGAGAGCAGGGGGCTCCTCCGCCACTGGCTTCCGTGCAGCCCTTTGCCAAGCACCGCTCCCCAGGC